ATAGCCAATATCTGTTATATGGCTCACCAGCAATAACAAAAATTTAATTTTTTTTTCCCTTCTTTACATATATATTGTAAAAAGCGACAATAACTGTTCAGAAAAAAAATTTCATCAAACGTTTAAAGTACTAAATAAATACGAAAAAGCATTCAGTTTGCTGTGAAGAAACAAAAAATATACAGAAGACTGGTTAGCACCAAAGTAAATTTTAAGACTCTCTTCTAAATTGCCAGATATGCGTTCACTGAGTGAAAAAAAATATTTTTTTTTTTTTCAAATCATGCGAAACTTTAAAAGAGTAATCACAAGATTGAATTTTGATATAAAAAATTTATTTCTTGATTTTCCAGCAATAGGCGGTTTGTGGCTGCAGAATATTTCAGCAGCAATATGTTGCGAAAAATTATTGAAAACTTAACAGTCAAGGATTTTCAATAAGTATTTTGGTAAAAAGTCAGCAGTATAGCAGTAAATGAAAGAGATGTTTCCATAGTAAGCTGATCAAACTAAACTTTACGTAAATTACAGTATATAATTGAAAAATTATATCCTCTCACATACAGCTAGATGGTTTGTCAAAATGCACTACTGTTGATCTGACAATCCACTTTCTTTTTACTTCACAGAATCATAAGCAGTGCCTAACTTAAACTCAGTAAAAGTTCACGCTTATTTTGTACACTTGCTCCAGAAAATGAATCTAACAAAATTTTCTACACGAGTGATCATTAAAGGCTTTCAGAAACTCGTAGAAAATTTAAATTAACAAAACGAGCAAAGAAGCTCAGGTGTGCTAAGCAAACTTTTGTGCAGTACGACCGAACTTTGGATATCTTTTCCTGCTAGTGTGATCGACATCTGCAGTAGATAATAAAAGCACCTAAATCAATGAAGTGTCTAAGTCGAATTGTTGATGAAGAATTTGCAGTTTCAATTGCTGTAAAGCGTCTCTCTTTGGCTTTGAAATGATAAGGACGAATTTGTACTCAAAAATTCGTCTTCAAATTTACCATTTGTTGCTAAAAGAAAAATAGTTTCAAGGTGCAAGCTGTAAATATTTTTCTAAAATGGAGAAGGAAGCAGCAACTCTCTGCTAATATCAGGATAAAATCCAAGGTATCTAACCTTCAAACCATTTATGGTCAACGATAGCTCGCTGTTTGAACCTGTTTCGAAATAACAGTCAGTTTAGCTCAAAATTATCTAGTTGTTACATTACGTTTAAAAACTGCACCTACACTGTTTTTTTGACCTCAGCCATGTGGCAGCCTCAAATGTCACCAAGCGCTTCATTATCCAAGGTTCCTAATTTCTAAAAACAAAGCCATTCTTCCTTCTTCTCTTTTTTTTTTAAAACTAAAAATCGATTGAAACTGCAGCCCCACTTAATATGTAAAGTGACTTTGCTGTTTTTCATTTCGTCTATGCAAATTTTTGTTTTCAAAATGCGATTCCTACTTTCATTTATTTTGCGTGATTACTTAGTCTTTAATGTTCACGTATAACTGTAATCTTATTTCAAGCGATCCAGTCACTGCAAATTGAACTGACAAACTTGAGGAAAATAAAAGTTCAAAGAGTGCCCTTAATAAATTCTGTATTTCACATTGCCAGAAGGAGGCACGACCGAATTTTATGTAACAACTATACCAGTAGAGGTGTGCATGTAAAGCATTAATAATTAAGAAATGTACTTATGCGTAACAAATTTATACAAGACGTTAACAATGAAAAATGAATTGACAAAGCACACTTACATTTGCAGCTTTGACTTACAAGATCACCTAAATTATTTTTTTTTCTTCTCTTCCTTGGCGTTTATGATTTACCCAGCTTTGGATCTTTTAGCATTTAAGATTTCTGACCCCTTTTTGGAGGTTTGAAGAAGGAAAAAGAAAGAAAGGAAGGAGACTTCCAGAAAATAAATAAAAAATAAAAATGAAAATTTGAAAACGAAGATAAAAAAAAATAACAGTTTGCAAGAATGGATTGTAATGAAAATGAAAATAAGATAAAATACAAAAAATAAAGAAAAGAAAAATCAAATATAATTACTGGAAACTTATGAGCACGCTGGTCAAAAAGCTTACCTTTAACTGAATTATGACATTTCTTTGAACCTTCTTTGGTCGTAGCTTATCCAATTATGAAGTAGGCTTAGCTTACGGAAGACTCTTAAATATTTTTTTATGTAACTCCGCCACACACCTGACTGTCCTAATAGCTCCACACCATTTTCTAGCTTAACCTTTCGGTGATGCTGACCTCCGTCCGCCAACGCCCTAGTTAGACTCCTAGCTGCAAATCGTCTGGAAGTAATACGCTGGTCAAAAAACTTACTTTTAATTGAATTACAACATTTCTTTGAAGCTTCTCTGGTCGTAGCTTTTTTTGCTCTTGGAGGCTATAGTGGAAAGATCACTACTACAGCGACATGTATAAAAGGGCAAAGTATCAGCGAGAAAAGAGTCATCTTCATCATCTTTCAAAACAACAGTCGCTGTCAATGATCCTTTCACTCAATTTCTCAATTTATTTTTTGTTTACTTTGCCTTTCGGTTTAAACGCTCGTTAATTTGCATTTTCTTCAGGTTAAAACTTATTTGTTAAAAGTTTATTTATCATCGTTTTTGTGATAATTCTTTGTATTAGGATGATACTAAGGGTCAGATAGCCAATGTTACTTTTCCATTTATGCATCTGTCGACAATTTCATCCACATTTAACATTTTTCTAAATACAGTATACAGTAAACGTAACCGCTGACCCAAAATTCTTGGCACATGCTTTGAACAAGTTTACAAAATAAGTCCTGTTGACACCAAAAACCCAACAAAGCAACTCCGAGACTCGGAAACGCTTAATACTGCATGCTCTTTGCTTGAGCCATGTAGGAAAACAAAGTTTCCTCCCGTTTGAAAGGCCAAACGAAACGGTCGCTCAAAGGAAGATGACCATTGTTCCAAAAATTGTAGGTTTAAACATTGTTGTCGGTGCAAAACAATCATCGTAATCGGTCAGATCTCTCAGCTTCTCTCATAATTGGAATTATTTTCAAAAGTTTGAAGTAATAAAACTGGTTCTAAATATTTGTGATTTGTACGCTATTCTTATTTTCTGTAATCTGTACAATTCGGATCCATCAAACAGGTCAGTAATTTGATTATAAAGCTTGTTTTCAAGTAATTTTATCGTGTTGTCTACTTAGGTCTATCATTTTCTTTCTGATCTGTATTGGTCCATCCATATCCTATCACCCCCCAAATTTTCTGTATATGCTGCAAATAATCTTATAAAGTCGGGTTTAAGAAAAATAAAGTCTTTCATCGAGAGTCACTTCATTCACTGAAGCTATAAGTTCCTTCGCGTTAAGGATGTAGGTGAAGCTATAAGGAGCTCAAAATAAGAGAGTTCTCTAGGATAGAAGGGATCACGAGTTTTCGGCAGAAAAGGAATTACCGTAACAAGAGAGGTCTAGTCAAGCCTAAAATTAACTCAAATTGGGTTACTGTGGGGATTGAAAGTTCCTCTATAGCATCAAATATTCAATACATTGTTAGAGTCTAGGTTACTGAGCTGCGCTCAGTGATCTTTTCTCATACTTCGTATCGTCAAACCCTCATAATTCATTCGCCTGTAATAATTGAAGGTTCTAATAAATGAAGAATCATCCAATAAACTAAGCGTCCAACAACGTTACCACTTTGCGTCAATTTAAAGAATTACAGTCCTCGATATAGTGCTGCAAGCGTCGGCAACTGTGATTGCTTGCAGTTTAAAACTGTAGAAACAAGGATCTCTGCAAGGACGCTGTAGGGGAGTAGTTGCGACATAGAGACTTACAATGTTCCGTCAGAGAAAAGTAGCACGGATATAGTAAGTTGAGGGGGTACACTAAAAGAACCATCAAAAATGGTTCAGAAAACTGCCGTAGTTATCAGCTTTAGAGGGTTATTGGCCCCAAAAGGTGGAATACAAAGAGTCGGATGACGAAGAAATTTTTCGCAAGAAGGGTATAACTATCAAGTTAAAGTCTGCAATTCGACCAAGGAGATCTTTCCAATTAACATCGAAGATTTTTCGATTTGGTGTAAACAAGGGTAGTAGTATACATTTTAAGATTCGTCAAGGTGCAAGTATGGAATAGAATATCTGGATTTCTCGAGAGGTTCCCCACTGAACAATTTATTTTCAGTCGTATAAGAGATCATGGCTATAATAGTGCTTAAGAACAGCAGAGCGTAGAATACTTTTTTGTTAGGTTAGACTAACAGTACTTATTCGAAAAAACGATACGAGGAGTTTATGGTCCACGATCTCAGAAACGTACAAAGAATGGTAATGTGGATAGTGGGGGCTAACTACGCCCACAGTAGAAGTGTACTCAAATAAAGATCTGTTTGGACGTGCTAGAAGGACATCTACCGCAGTTGTTCTTCAAGTTTAAAATTCTGTCAGTTAGCCGTAACATGTGCCACTCGGTGAGGAATGGTCCGATTACGTATCCAAAACATGCCCAAAACCCATCAGGTATTTCACGTAGAAAATAAAAGCTCTTTGAATTTCTGCCACTAAAATCACTCCAGAAACTACAGGCTCGAATGCCGCTTACAGTTGATGATACTATTTTATACTTTAAGTATGGCGATTTTTAAGCTCCTTTACTTGCCACTTTTTGAAGGACGGAGATAAGCAAGACCCTTAAGTAAGAACAAAGCCTTTCCCTTACAGACTTTACGGATAAGCGAGCAGTAAGGAGACTCAATTCTGATAGAAAATGACATCTTACCAGATGAAATTGTATGTCTATCGTTTAATTAATGCCTGCCCTTTATTACAACCTTAGCCATTTAGTTTCAGGTGCATAGATAAGTCTACATGCTAGTAAAATGTTCCTTTGGTTGAAGAAAAATTAAAG